ACTATAATAACAAATATAACCCCCAAAATAAAACTTCCATTACAATTTGGTCCCCCATCCACATTTAAAAATCAAATCTTAATTATATAACTTATATTAACAAGTCTAGAGTGGATTGCCGCAAAGAAATTCGTTGCCGTCGAACGACGAAGCTTCAAGATGATCGAACGGTGTTCCCACCGGAATCTCGCCGCAAAGACGATTATGGCTCAGATCCAAATGTCCGACGTATTTTGCCGACAATAGCGATTTCGGAACCGAACCTTTCGGGTTATTGAATGATAAATCGAGAACCATGTACTACGATTTTGATCCGAAAACGTCCGGTATGGTCCCTTCGAGGGAGTTTCGGCTCAAGTTCAAGATACTCACACCGGAGTTCCCCAACACCGCCGCCGGTATTGTGCCGGAAAACATGTTGTTGTGCAAATTCAGCGTTGCCAGCACCTTCATTTTGCCCAACTGAGCCGGTATTTGACCCCGTAGCTTGTTTATGGATGAATCAAGGTCAGCTAACCGGTTCATGTTGCCGAATCGCCGATGGAAGCTGGGATTGTTCCGGTGAGTTTGTTTCGACTCAGTAAAGCACGACTCAGCATCTTGAGGTTACCGAAGTTGGCCGGAATCTAGCCGGTGAGGATATTATTGCTTAAATCGAGATGTTTTAAGCTCGAGAGTTGAACAATGGAGGTTGGGATTTCGCCGGTGAGTTTATTATCCGCTAAGTTTAAGAAGGTGAACTTTTGGAGATTCCCAATACGTGTTGGGATTTTCCCGGAAAGTGAATTTCCGATGAGATCCAACACTCTCAAGTTCGGCAACGGCGCCACACACGGTGGAATCTGGCCGGTGATGCCTTTCCAGTCGGCTATAATTAACGTGGAGAGCTTGTCGAGTTGGAAAACGGAAGGGTTGATTGAACCAGTCATGTAACCGGAATTTGAGTGGCCGGGTTTCTGTAAAATGGGGTCCTCCGACTCACCGCGGAGAGAAACGTCGGTGAATCGTCGGATCGCAGCTGATGCCGTACCAGTTGAAGCAACAGTCAGTGCCTTTCCATGAATCGAATATGCCAAAGTAAGGTTCCTTCAACGAAGAACTTGAACTCAGCAATGCTTCTCGATCAGACGGTGGACATGCAAATACGGCGCCGGAAAGAATGGATAACAGCAAAGGTAAAGCTACGGCGGCGAAGGAGAAGATCCCCATTGGATTTTCTTTTTACCCTTTCTGTGTTTTTTGTGTGTAAATGTGTAAATTAGACAAAATGTGGATTTGTTTTTGGATCTGAAACTAAGACGGAAGATGAATGCAGTGAAGGAGAAAGAGAGAGCTGCGAAGAGGGAGATGCCCGAACGAGTTATTATGGGGTGGCAGATTTATACTACATATTTGGCTTTCGGCCTTTTTGAGGTAAATAGTATCCATTTTATTAGTATTTGTTTTTATTATTTTATTATTTATATATAAACTACATCTATTTTACAAGGATAAGTAAAACGTTTAGTATTTAAACTAATAATTTTATTTCGTTTTAGCATTTAAACTTTTATTTTTTTAAAAATTATATTTAATATTTATTTTCGTTTCGTTTTGATATATTATTGTTATAAACTTAGCAGAAACAACATGATATTTTTATGGGTAAATTACATCATTCATCATTCAACTACATTCTCACTCCTATTTTGATCACTGAAGTTTATTTTTTTAAATTAATTACTTAAGTTTCAAATTTATTTTTTATTTTAATTATATATTAATATAATAATAATAAATTATTAATAAAATAAATTAGAGTGATTAAAAACATGAGCAATTTGAAAGTTGAGTAGTTAAATTGAATTTTTTTAAACTTTAGTGATCAAAATAGGAGTGAGAAGATAATTAAGTGATGAATGATATAATTTATCCAAAAAATGCCACGTGCAACATTTCTCTTAAGTTTTTAACAACGAGATATTAAAATAAAAAATATAAACATTAACTATGATTTTGAAATAAGTAAAAGTTTAAGTACTAAAATGAAACAAAACTAATAGTTTAAATACTAAACGTGTAATTTACTCATTTTATAATAATGCTCGAGACTTGCATATTATTTGATACAATTATGGAAGAACATGGTCATGTTTTCGGTCAATCCGATCTAACTCGAAAATATATATCACTCACCTGAAATTTAGTTTGATTCGAATTTAAGATGATTTTATTCGATCTGAAACTCGACTCATCTCTTAAGATAAAATTTAAATCTGACCTGACTAGACATAATATAAACCTTTCGAATTATATCAAAGTAAATTCCGGATCATAACCTCTGACACTATTAAAATTAAAATTGTTATTTTGATTCCTTTGGGGGACCTTTCATTTTTACAATTTCGATAATTTCATTGGGCCAATAATTAGGTTTCGTTGGACAAATAATCGGGGAAAAAATTAAGGAAATAAAAAGTTGTTACATTATTTTTGAAACTACTCATGTTCTCGTGACATGTTTTTATAAAATATAATAAATAATTAAAAATTGTCATGTTCTCTTTGCGAGTTTCATACAATTTTCATCAAGTCCACATAATGAGATATTTTTAAATAAATTTAATGAAACTCGTCATGAGAGCATAACGAGTTCTACGTATACCGTAACAAGTGACCTAAATCTAAAAGTACATTTTTAACACCTATATTTTCATTTTTTTATTTCCCGTCCCCAATATTTCCAAATTTAGGCCAATAATTAGTCTAAAAATAATAGAAATATTAAATAAATAAAAAGTCACACTAAAGGTTGTAATCATGAAGAATATTGATTTTGGAGTATCTAACATGCATCAATTCACCATGATTAGTTTCACCACTAATTATGTATAAATCTTGCCCTCAATGATGGACATTATGTACCAATAACGCATTGCATTAATAATTTTATAATCAGATTAACAATCGAATCGATTCGATCATTGATTTATTTAATTGATGAATTATTGATTTCTAATATTTAGATAAAAATATATTGATAGATCTTAGTGTTCATCCTTAAAGTTCTAAATTCGAGCAGCTGCAAGATGTATATGCATTATCAATATTTAAGAAAGATTATGAATAAATAATACATTGAAATCATCCATACTAGGGATGGTTTTTTATAAAGAAAATGACCCCATTAGTAACTCTTTTTATAACCGAAAGCAAAACAAAGTTTACAACCGGACATTGGAAGGAGGAAAAGAGTATCCATGGATTATATTATTGAATAACCAATTACTTGTTACAAAGAAATATGAAACCAAATCATCTATACTCACGCTTCACACATGCATTCCATGCATAGAAGACAAGCTCTAACCATCAATATCTCCACTATTACTGCATATGATAATTAAAGGCAGCCACGAACTTACACACCAGTCAGTCTCAATGGGCTGACCATTACAACGGTTGCGAACGCCCGATACCATTCTTTGCTCAGGGATCCGCAGCACAATTTAGCTCTCTGGAAATAAGAGTCACAATCCTCTTGATTGACCTGCTCAACATGATACATTCTTGAATTGAGTTGAGTTGAGCACAATATATTAGGGATGTTTAATGAATTGAGTTGAACAACTTGTGAGTTGTTCGAACTTAACTCAGTCAAAACTCGATCGAAGTTTGACTTGGGTTAATTCAACATACGCCATTTGTATACGTGGACCACAATTTTCCATAACTTATTTTAAATGGAATTCTGATGGGAGTTGTCTCCTCCTCAAAGACAATGAGTCATTCTGCTGCGCCGCCGTGCCTCTATTGTCGGAACCTAGTCACTATAGCTCAGTTGAGCGAAGCAGATTTCGTTTTTAATTTGTTTGTTTGATGTTATCTGGAGAAACAAGAATATAAATATGCATTCTTAGTTTTTAATCGAACACTCTCATTCTCTCTCTGTCGTACTATGTTGTTATCTGAAACTGGATGACAGAGTTATCTAGCTATAAAATCTTTATGCAATGATCTATTTATTACTTTTAAAATTTTAGTGTGAAAAACAAAAATTTATTTAAATATTTGTGATCATTTTGTCTCTTTATAATTTTATATATTCTATTTGTCATATTAACAATACGTTAATGATTTAATAGAAGTTAAACTTTAATGATCACATATTAATTAAATAAAAAAAGTGATCAAATATTATATTTTTTAAATTTAATAAAAAATACAAAATTTAACAAAAATGATAATTATGTTATTTACCAATATTAAATTACTTTATAATTATGCTATTTACCTATATTAAATTGCTTTATAATCATCTACAAATAATAATTAATATTTGCATTATAAAATGTATTTGTATATTATTTTTTGTGGTGATCTCCAAACCTAACCGACAAATATTATATTTTTTAAATTTAATAAAAAATAAAATTTAACAAAAATGATAATTATGTTATTTACCAATATTAAATTACTTTATAATTATGCTATTTACCTATATTAAATTGCTTTATAATCATCTACAAATAATAATTAATATTTGCATTATAAAATGTATTTGTATATTATTTTTTGTGGTGATCTCCAAACCTAACCGACTTGAAGGCATGGTTTCTCTCTTATTTTCTGATTTCAAGGCTTAGATCGAACCTCGAAAACCACAGTATCTACTCCTCTTCAGGTAAGTCCTCCGTTTCTTCTTTGCATCTTCCTTTCACGGCGGTTCCGCCGCCGGTATTGTTCCCTTTCCTTGCATTTTCAATCCTTTTACGGTTCTGTCATTCCGAATCCGGCAGCCTTCGGATTTCCGTTTCGATCGGATCTGGTGCTGCCCGTTCTTCATAGATCTGAATCTATTGTGTTGTTATTTGTAATATACTTAGGTTGGTTTTTATAAATTTAGGGTTATGTTCTCTTTTTTTTTTTTGAAAAAATACCCAAATTATGTTTCTGGAGAATCTGATTGATCAACTGATGATTGTAATCCGTCCTATTCTGATGTCGTTTCGATTTTGTGTCGGTTATGTGAATTTTATCGTTCTAGTTTGTGTTGTTATAATGGTCGTACCTTGAGACCCTCTGCAACATCTAAATATCTTGGAAGCTTTACTTGTCCAGCAGTGACTTCTTCCTGTCAATAGCGTTTTAAGTGTTGTTTGGATTCTCTTTGCCAATGGAGAAAGGAGTGCCATCTAGCCTTTTTGTTAATGATGGTTCCTTCATGGAGAGGTTTAAACTGCTTCAACAACAGAAGGATGACAAAGACAAGGCTGCATCATTAGAGGAATCTAAACCTCCCATTGTTGTAAGAGGGTCTTCATCTGTCAAGCCTTCTATTGCTTTCAATAAAGTAGCCACGGAACGGAAGACCGCCCAAACACCTTCGGGAGGCAAGCTTGCCTTCAGCTTGAAACAGAAATCGAAGCTTGTGGCACCTCCTGTTAAGTTGGATGCAGATGAGGATGTAGAGGACCAGGATGCAGGAAAGTTGGTAGATGACAAACCAATTAAAAAGCAAAAATTGGCTCGATCTGATGCCTCCGAACAAGCTTCAAAACAAGTGGATGTTGGTAATTACTGTTTTTTTATCGTTGTTGCTGTTGGTGACGGTTGGTACTCAAGGATTTTACATGCTTAGGTTGCATGTCATATACGTTTCCAACTAGAATGGGCTTATGAATGTTTGGGCTACCTTTTATCTTGCTTATGGTTATGTGCTCACAGACTTAAATAGAGGTCTAGATAGATAAAAAAATATTCTTTTTCTCTTCCCGTAAAGAAACAATTAATGGGTGTCTAGGTTAAATAGTCCTCTTCATAAACTGCTGTGATTTATGAAGTCATCCCATCTTCTTTGATCTTAAAGTGGTTGATGAAGAGGGCAAAACATTCTTGAATTTTTCTTGTCTCATGAATGCAGCTTATATCTTATTTACCAATCATCATTGATGGAAAGAGATGTTCAATGAAAGATTTGGAATATGTGGCACGCCTGCTACAAGAGTAATTTGCATTCTCTTCTTGATGCACTTGGTATTAATCAGTTTTATAAGTGATATGCAGCAGCACCTTCTCCAAGCGATCTCACTGTGAAGAAAGTTGCCGACAAACTGGCTAGTTTTGTTGCCAAACATGGAAGGCAGTTTGAACATATTACCCGTCAAAAAAACCCTGGAGACACACCTTTCAAGTATGTTCATTTTGCATCAATCTTTGCTTTTCAATATGCTTGTCCCCATGAGTGCATTCTTGTCCTTTTGGGTCTCCATGTTTTGTGTATTTGATATGTTACTGTGTTCAGATTCCTTTTTGATGAGAGCTGTTCTGATTACAAATACTATGCACACCGGCTTGCTGAAGAGGAAAAGTCTCTCTCAGAGAACAAGGAACAACAAACCCCTCAAAGTGGTTAGTAACTTTTCCCCCTTGACCATTCTTTCAGATAGGAATTCTTTGGATCAGTATGCTCTCACTGCAAACTTTTTGTGGCAGTTTTATCTGATTTAAAAAGTTACTTTTGCTATTATTTATTTCTTGCTACTCAATTTTCTGTTCTACACCAAATAATAAATATTGAAGTTACCAGTCATGTACTATTAGGCTCGGAAATGGCTTCGTTAATCTTAATAAATTTAAGATTGATGGATATTTGAAGGTGATATGTCTTGTTCTTCTGTAATGACATGATTAATGCTTTATGTGGTACAGGCATTTCAGCTTCCAAGTTCAGCTCTATTAGGGCTGTTCCACACCAATCAAGTTATCAAACACCTTCCTCTGCTTTGTATGATAGTGATGAGCCTAGATCTTCGGTGGGAAGAGCAGGTGATGATGCATGAGATATTTGCTTTCGGTTTTTTTATTGGATCAATGAGTTTTGGCTTTCTTTGGCTTGAAATGACTAGATTTATCAAGTTCTTGGAGTAAAAAATTATTGTTCTTTCATTTCTCCATCATATTCTTCAATGTCTACTCTATGGGATATCTGTCTGTTCATGATTTTTTTATCAAAATAATCTGAAAGTGATATTGTCCTGTTATTAGGTTTCTATCTTTTGGCCAGTCTACACTTATGATTGTTGGTTAATGATATACATCATATTTTTCTGTTAAATCATCCTTCTAGAGTGGAATTTGATATAAACAATTATGGTGTATTATCAACTTGCAATTGTACATATGACATCGACAGACATTAGTAATAGAAAATTTTGTTTGCCTGATGTTTTATTCATGCTTTTCTATGGTGCAGGCTCGTCCAGTGCACCGTCAGGTGCAGATCCTATTGCAATGATGGAATTTTACATGAAGAAAGCTGCTCAGGAAGAGAAGATGAGAATGCCTAAACAGTCCAAAGATGAGATGCCACCACCTCCTTCCCTTCAAGGTGATTCTTTATCCTGATTGAATTGTGTGTATGTGTTCACATGTACATGCTGTGTTTTCTTTTCCTTCTAAAATGCATTTCCCTCTTTCTGTTGGTTTAGCAGCTCCTGCGAAGAAAGGTCATCACATGGGCGATTATATCCCACAGGAAGAGCTTGAAAAGTTCTTGGCTGCCTGCAATGATGCTGCAGCACAAAAAGCTTCGAAGGAGACTGCGCAGAAGGCAAAGATCCAATCTGATAATGTTGGGCATAAACTCTTGTCGAAAATGGGTTGGAAAGAAGGTGATTTATCTTCTCTCTTTAATATCTATGCTTGCTCTTGTCTGGCACGGCCTTTGTTAACCAAAAGTTTGGAGCTCAACTTTAAATTGGGATAATATGACAACTGAAAGCTAAGATAAATCATCTGGAAGAAGTGTTTAAGTGCTACTGGCAATAGTCTTCTGTATCTCACAATTAAGTTATGCTGCAAATGCTGGTTTTTTTTCTTGTTTGTTTTTCCTTTGTGGTAGTATTATTGTACTATTTACTAAACACATCTTTCATCAAGTTTAGAGGGTACGTGAGTACCTCACTAATTTGTCAGATTGCTTGCATTCATGCTGTGAGCCTATTAGAGGCGATCTTATTATTTCTTCGGATGGTGATTTTCCTTTCAAATTTATTCACTGCAGATTATTGAAAAATGCTCGATTTCATCATATATAGGTGCATTCTTTTTATCCCCTGAAGGGAGGAGTTAAATATCTTGGCTGCATGGTTTACAGGTGATGGTTTAGGCAGTTCGAGGAAAGGTATTGCGGATCCCATCATGGCTGGGGATGTAAAGATGAACAATTTGGGGGTCGGCGCTCATAATCCTGGAGAAGTGAACCCAGATGATGACATATACGAGCAATACAAGAAGCGAATGATGCTTGGCTATCGATACAGACCAAACCCCCTGGTATTTTATATGTTCCTTTATGTACAATGCTGTTATTCACATAAGTAGATGGCAATATTTTGGCCTTGAATCGATCTAATATGTAAAAATCTATATTTGCAGAACAATCCTCGAAAAGCATACTATTGAAGATTCGTTGTGGAAGATATCAACTTGTGTAGGATGTGGTGGAGGAATAAAAGTTTAAACGTGGTTGATCTTATGTATAACATATACATTATGTAGATATTTGTTTTTCGTTTACGACGGAGGTTTCTTTTCTATGTGGGATTAGATCAAGCTCCATTTCGTTTATTCAGTGTTCAATTGACAAGGTTTTGCTTCTGATTTTCTAAGAAACCCAACTGGCGATTTGAATCAATATAGGAGGAAGCTGTGCTCTCTTTAACCTTTCATCAGTGATGACGCACTTATTCTCTCGAATCCAAGAATTTTAAAAAGAACAAATTTTTTTTTTATCATTAAGATCATTAATATTCTTTCTCGTTATTATTAAGGTCATTAATATTCTTTTTGTTGTATAGTAACGCATCATAATATAGGTATAGTAATTTAGTTTCAATTAAATTAAAGTTCGGAAGTATTACATTTATTTGTATCGGGATGTAGATGACATATTAGAGACAATAATAGATGCCCCGGTAATCAAAAATATATTTATTGAATGTACAGTTCAGCATGAAAGATTCAGCGATTTGACTAAACTGACATTATTTAATTGAATATTTACTTTTTTAGCATCGGTTAATATATATTTCTTGAAGTGGCACTCTTTCGACTGAGCCGGCGAAAGGTGCGTCCCCGAGGACTCGTTTTACTCATGTTTTCGTTGAGTTGGATGCCACGTGTGGTAGGCGCATCCCCGGGGACGCGCCTTCACTGTCACGCTGGTATTTTGTTTAATAATAAATATTTTATTTTTATTATTATTATAAATTAATAATATATTATGTAAAGTGTTTCGATTATAATGTAAGAATTATCAAATGTATTTTTTTAATGTGTGTTAAAGGTGGAGTGAATTATCTACATTAATATGATAGAACAATATATGAAAACCAGTTTTGATTTTATTGTAGTTATAGGAAAAATGTATGAAATTATAATATTACACATATGGTTATATTATTATTTTTGATTTTGATTATCGATCTATTAATTTTATCAGTTAATTATTTAAATGTTATCAATCTAGTCATCTCTTATCAATATTTAACGAAAATATTGATGCATAAGTTAATAAATTAGTATAATTACATATTTAATCTTCAAGACTTACATATTTTATGAAATTAGTCTTATTGAAAATTTAATTTAATAAATTTAATCCTCCAATCAGAACATGAAATGTGTCATCGTATACATAAATTTTTTAATAACTTTTAATTTGTTTAATTTAATATTTTTCTCTACTTAGAAGGTGGAATTATTATTATATTTTAAAAAAATTTATAAATAATAATATTAATTATTATATTAAATAAATATATTGAAAATATTTATGTATTTAAAAGTTAAAAAAATTATTTAGGTGTACATACATTGACATATTATATAAATGCAATAACATTAAATTATTAGAAACAAAAACATTCATTTAAATACAATATTAATTACATAAGAGTTAACGGTTATATGATGATAACAGAGCTGGACATTTTTTTCTATTGTGCTCGATGTTTCTACAATGCCCACATCGTTTTTGTTCTGTTGACTTCTCCCGAATATCCATATCACAATGTATTCTAGTAGATTTTGGACGACTTGAGTCCCTCAATAGCAATGGATCTGGTACAATTGTAAGCCAAGTTTGAATCTCATTTGGGTCTCTTTCGTTTCCTATAGGCGGAAACTCAAATTCATATACCTTGAATACTTGTGAAAGTTGGTATACGGGATCAACATAATTTTTGTAGTCCATTTGAGTGCTTGAAAGAAACCACAATCGCACCACCTCTCTTGCAGATTAACTCTGAAAAAGTTAGCTCCAATCCCTTGCAGCGGACGTGGCATTTCGGTTACACGAAACAATTCACGGGTGCGAGAAAAATTTGTAACTAACATCCCATTTGATGCAGTCACTTTTTTCTGTAAATCAACTACTAGTCTTGGGAGGTAAATATGGTCGTTTTGCATCCAAGTAAGAGCTTGTCCACCGAGCTTTGCAAAGAGTTGACCCAAACGAAAATAAGTCGTTTTAACCAACGTCGTGACTGGTAAATGACGCGCCCCCTTTAAGGTTGAGTTTATTGCTTCAGCCAAGTTTGTTGTCATATGACCATAGCGATACCCCCCGTCATATGCATTTGTCCACATTTCTTTGCTGATGTCCATAATGTACTCGCACCCCTTCTTATTTTTGCCAAACAGCTCTTGTAGCATCGACTCAAACCTTTGAGGTAAGAGTTCGTAACCTAAGCCATTAGGAATATGTAATAGTTAATATGAAGTATAAATAAGTAATAAGAAATTGATAGAAAAATTGGGAAAAAGTAACATACCCATCCGCACGACTAACTGACGTTCATCGTTCTTCTTGTATTTTCCGTAATAGTTTGCAGCAATATGACGAACACAATAACGATGTTGAATATGTGGAGGTCTATACATTGTACCCAAAGAGTCCATTGCTACTTTTATCCCGGCTCCTCTGTCTGAAATAATGCATACTCGTTCCCTGGTGACAACATGTAAACGTAATTTTTTAAGGAAAAAAGCCCAAGACTCAGTGTCTTCTCCTTGAACGAGGGTAAACGCAACAGGAAGAATATTGCGGTTTCCATCTTGGACCACAGCCAATAATAAAACTTGCTTGTATTTCCCATACAAGAAAGTACCATCAATTTGGACAACTGGTTTACAGTACTTGACTGCATTAATACACTGAGGGTAAGTCCAAAAGACACGGTAAAATTGGCAGCGATCGCAAACCATTCGATCATTCACGTAATGATGTTGAGTTTCGAACTCAACAATTGTCCTGGGATTAAGTCTTTGCACAACATGAAACCAACTGGACAGCTCGTTGTAAGAGGAATCCCATTCGATCATTACCTATTATTTCTCAGGGGACTTGAAGGCGCGTTCCCGGGGCGCGCCTTCCATTATTTTGTCAGAGAATATGTTATCATTGACCTATTATGTCACTCATGTCCCTCGGGGACACTATTCATATCATTACCTATTATTTCTCAGGGGACTTGAAGGCGCGTTCCCGGGGGCGCGCCTTCCATTATTTTGTCAGAGAATATGTTATCATTGCCCTATTATGTCACTCATGTCCCTCGGGGACGCTATTCATATCATTACCTATTATTTCTCAAGGGACTTGAAGGCGCGTTCCCGGGGGCGCGCCTTCCATTATTTTGTCAGAGAATATGTTATCATTGCCCTATTATGTCACTCATGTCCCTCGGGGACACTATTCATATCATTACCTATTATTTCTCAGAGGACTTGAAGGCGCGTTCCCGGGGGCTCGCGTTCCATTATTTTGTCAGAGAATATGTTATCATTGCCCTATTATGTCACTCATGTCCCTCGGGGACACTAGATGGATTGTGAAATCAGGTAAATTATAACCAAAATTTAACTTCTTTTGAAAGTTCAGCAAGTTAAGAATAAATTATACATATAGATTAATTTAAGTTCATAACTTAAATTAAAACGTTATGTGAAGTTTGAATAAATTAGATAAAATGTTATGGATAAATTGAATAAATGTGAAGTGATAAGTTGATTGTGACATTGAAATTGTATGGAATGAGCATCGAGATGTTTTTACGAATAAATGTGAAGTGATAAGTTGATTTTAATGTATACGTTTTAATATATATGTTAATGATAAAATCATATGTATGGATAAATTTAATTTCAATTTAAGTATTGTGAACTATAATTGGAATATAACTTTTAATTTCGAATACAATTGGAATATTAAGTTGAAATTTAATGTTAAATTTCAAATACTATAATTTATATTTTAAATTTAAATTTTGAATAATATTATTTTTATTTTTATTTTAAATTTTGAATAATATAATTTGTATTTTAAAAACATTTATCAAACATTTAATGTTAAATGTGAATAAAAAATAACATTAAAAATATGTATGTAACAACCATGAAACATTTAAATAACATAACCAAATTACATAAAATTCTGAAATATAACTATTTAAATAACATTAAAATACAACTGGATCACTGATGTCGTCTTCTCGAATGAGTTCCACATGGTGGTGGTTGTCTATTTCGTGGAGGATTTCTTCGTGGAATTTGTTCTTCAGTCCCCTCATCTTCACTATCATCATCAGCAACATTTTCTTCATTTGGTGTAGATGACGCTGAAGGGGCTGAAGGGCCTGTATAAAATAATGACCCTGGAGGAGTGCTAGTAACAATCCCACCGCTCCCCGGGAACTGTGAAAACTGTGGAAACATTGGCATCGATGTCTGTGATCCAGATGGAGATTGAGGTGTCTGCGGAGAAGCACCACCAGCCAAATAAGATGCATATGAACCATATGTTGGATCATTAAACATAGTCGTATATGCACCTCCATATGGTATAAAACCCTGCGGGCTAGGAATGTAACCTGGCGGGCTAGGAATGTAACCATGCGGGCTCGGAATGTAACCTGGCGGGCTAGGAATATAACCCTGCGGGCTCGGAATGTAACCTGGCGGGCTAGGAATGTAACCCTGCGGGCTCGGAATGTAACCCTGCGGGCTCGGAATGTAACCCTGCGGAGATGGCATATGAACTGGTGGGCTTGGCACATAAAGTGGAGGGTTGGGCATGTACCCCTGCGGCATCGACGGATAAGGATGTTGTGGTGGGACTGATGCAGAACCTGTAGCGCCTTCTCTCCGTCCACGCATCGGGGGACGATGATATTGAGACGGTTGACGTCTTTCTCGGCGCCTAGGAATGTTAACCCCTCGTGCTTCCGCCGAAAGTAGAAACGACTTCCCATTTTCATTAAACCAGTCCATATAGTTATCCGTAACCATATGACCAGTTTCAGCGTAATATTGTCGAGGGGCCAATAGTGTATATCGGTTCTCCCAAAGCGCAATCCAATCTCTGTGTCTCACCACCCAATTAACCTCTTTCTTTCCTTGTCTATCTATGTTATGCACGTCGTCTAAATTCCTAGGTGCTCCAGGAATATATTGCGTACAATCATACTGACGGAGCACGCGATCAACTGGATGCCACTCAATAATAGCATAACATATAAGAGGTATAACCGATATCCATACCTCTAATGACCCATTAAGGTGGGGTGGGATGCAAG